TAAAGAACAATTTTCTTCACAATTTTCCCCTGAAATTCCATTGTGATTAACATTTCCCATATCTGGTAAGTCTTCAGAAAAGCCCAATGAATCATGAGTCAGTGTGTCCATGAGGCAGTTACCACTCACATGTGAGGCAGGTTTAAAAGCAATATGACATTCTTGCAATGATTTTGGTTGAACTAGATACATCCTGATGACAAGTTGCTCTTCTATATCATCTTCACAAGGACTTAAATCTTCGAGCGATTCACCAGTGGGACGTACTTTACATAGACCAGCGTCGACAATTCCAAAACTCAATATTGGATATGGGAGAAGAAATTCTGATATTGTACTTACTGATGTTAATGTATCCCCATTATCTTTTATAAGACTTAATATATATAGAACTTTATTGTAAATATCTGATAATAAAAGATATCCTGCACTAAGATCTAAGCCTGCTTTTAACACTGGTAATTTACCAGTAGAAGGCGTGGGTGCGAATTTAATAGTTTGTAAGCATGACCATACTTCACAAGACCAAACTTTCAATTCTGTGTTATTATCACATCCAGTTATAGCAAATCTCCAAAACTGAACTCTAAAAAATAAAATATAATTATAATGATTATTTTGTCAGTAATAAAATAAATTCAGTAATATTTTTTTTAATAATTACTTACTCTGGATGATATGTTTTATGATCATCTAGGAAGAACAAACAAGAAATTGGTCGTCCACCATGTGGTCTCCATTGATGTAAACAACGTGGTTGTGCTTGATTACCATGAGAATTACTATGTAAATAAACTTGAAAGAATTTTACTTCTCCATCAAAACTAGCTGTAGCTAAAGCTGTACCATCTGGACTGAATGTTGCTTCTATGATTGTATCAGAATGTTGATCAATTTCCAACATGCCTCCATTTTCCTTTACAGCTGGATCAGTTGCCTATCATTTAGTCAAACAGTTGGATACTTTGTTCATTTTGTATGGATTTTATAATCTGTAAGTAAGGTACACATTCACCTCTATTGATCTGAATCTTGCTGAAACAGTATTAACTGACCACAACTCTACTTTGGAACCCCGAGTTAGAACTAAAAGCTTTGAAACTCTATCTCCATCTGATGGTACATCTTCTGGAATATATGGACACCATATCACACGATGACTGGTAGGAGATATATCTTCTGCATTTACTTGTAGTAATAAACTACATAATAATTCAGATGGTGTTGATTCAATGGTATGTATGAAAAGATTTCCCAAATAATCAACGCATGCTAAAATTGCATTTGAAACATGTGCAAATGCCAGATCTTGTATTGCAGCACGCATTCCTCTTAATAGAACTCTTTGTTCCAATTCTTTATATACAACTCTAACCATACCTCCTCCATTACCAACTAAATAATATTATTTTTTTAAATTTATAAATATATATATATATATATATAATCATATAAATGCAACTTTAATTGAAATTTAGATTACCTTTTATACCATATGCTAAATATTTTCCAGACATATGAACAGCTAATAATTGGCCTGGATAAAAGTTATGTTCCCATGTAAAATCAACAATATTTTTTAGTTTCACCTTTGAACTACCATGATTATGCCCCCCTGGTGAAGGAATAACAGTAATATTGGTACCATATAATTCAACTGAATGTTGATTTTCTTGTCCAGTGAATTCTCTAAACATAAATTTATTTTTATGATACATATATAAAAAAAATAATTGAAATAATAATATTAAAAATATTAAAATAATGATAATAATAAATATGATATTTAATAAATATGAACATTTAATGAAAATTATATAATTTAAATAAAAATTTAAAAATTTAGAATGATAATATATTATAATTAATATAAAAACAGATATATTATACTTATACTAATACAAAGATACATCTATAGATAGAAATACCAAATTATTATTAGAAATTATTATAAAGAGTAGAAACATAAAAGTAAATATATTAATAAGAAACTATTAATAAAAATTTTATCGTTTATAACGAAAATTTAATAAGTACGTACACTGTTTGCTGATAGTGAAGATGTCTTAGGTTATCCTCTCCTGTTTTGATCATTTTGACAAAAATTATAGCGTATCCTAAAAAGTAATAAAATTAATAGAATTTTGGTAATTAGCGTACCGGAATTCAGATAAATCTAACCTCAGCCGGTGGCACGCCTGATAATGATATATTTGAGTAGTCTTACCTTTCGTGCATATATTTGCCGGATTGCGAAAATGTTTTTCCAATTATATGTTATTTATTTTAATAAATCATGCGTAAATTATTGTTTCATTGATATAAATAAATAACGTGCTTTATGGACATATTTTAATAAAATTATTAAAATCGAAATGTCAAGCAACCATCAGATACTTGTCAGAAAAACGAACCGGAAGTTCACCAACGATATTTTATCTACTTCGCGTTATGTGGCGCTTCACGCCATCTTAATTTTAAAGGTTTCAATTATTATAAACATACATAATACATACATATTATATATAGTTATTTATCTTTTAAATTATTAGCATAAAACGATTTTATATTTCTTTGTAAATAAATTATAAAATATATTATTATATACTTTTTATATTATATTATACTATATTATATATTTTTTATAATAATAATTTTTTAATTTACGATTATAATTATATAATAAAAAGTATGTACTATATGTATTTTTCGAATATTTTATGTTCACTATAAGATATAATATTTAATATTCTACATAAAATATTTAAATGGATACTCATAGGGAATCCTATATCGTAATTTACATTTTATTTTGTATAATACACTATAATAAACAGGCTTTTTTTTCATACATAATTAATATCTTTTGGAAAATGGCAGTAGTGCTCAAATGTATGAAGACCCAAGAAAAATGGCAGTAAATTTTTTTAATTCAATATAATAATTTTATTTTTCAATAACGCTTAACTATATTATAAATCCCAATAAAACGTTTTTTAATTTTTAACCCTTTGCGTTTATTTCGAGTTCCTCCGGTAAAATTTCATAAAACAATATATTTTTTATTGATTTTGATTATTCATTTATATATATAGAATAGATAACTTAAAATATAAATTAGACAATCAATACAATCTGAAAAAATAAATGAAGTTACAACAACTTGAGGATAACAAATTTTTTAATATCAAAGTTTTATCATTCATTAAATATTATAAATATATATTAATAAAACTTAATAAAATATGGATTTTTATATGACAAAATTAGTAAGCGGATATAAATAACCAATTAAGATAACTGAATCACTGAATCAAATTGAATGTATCTGTTTAGATTATGATTATGAAATGATTTTAAAAATGTAAATAATGACTAAAGTAAAATGCATAATGTCATAAGGATATCTAGATATGTAGTAAGATTAGTTTTAAGCGAGTCAAGCGCTTAAGAGTTTTGATACAAAGAATAATAAATAGTATAATTTCATGATAAGAGAATTATAAGAAAATAATTAATTAAATTAATTAAAATAAATTATCATTATACGAGTTGTAATAATTTTAAATGTATATTTATTTATTTATTTATATTTTTATTTAAAAATTTTTTTAAAATTTTTTATATTTTTCATTTTGTACTCGTAAAAAGATAAAAAAGAAAAAAAAATATTTCCTTTAATATTATAGTTTTTACACTTTTTAGATATAATAAAAAAGAAAAAAATACTTTTTGATAGAATCAAAAGATATATATATATATATATAAATGATACATATAAGAAAATTTTTCAGAATTGATAAAAAATCAATATTATATGTAATTTTTATTCTATTATTTTAATCATATTCATTTTATTTAAATTAATTTAAATTAAAATATTATATATATACAAGATAGTTAAATTAATTATATTAAAATATCATGAATTTTTTTGAATTTTTAATTTGAATTCTAATTTGATTCAATATTATTTTTTTGTCTTCTTAATTATCAATGAGAAATCTTGTTATTTTTTTTGTCATTGAGACGCTTTTATTTTATTGCTGAAAATAATAACTAAATAATAATAAAATAATTGTTCCTTTAATTTATTGATTCTCTTATGAATCATGTATGCTTAGTAAAAGAAAATAATTGGCGTATGCTATTATCAATGTTACTATATGCTATTTTTATGTATAAAGTTTTATTTGAAGATATCAATTGTTATTTTTTATAATAATTATAGTATAGAAACGTATGAACTTGAAAAAAAGGAATTTTTTAAGTTTGAAATTATTAAATAAGAAAAATTCACATAAGGAGACACCAAGGTATGAAATTTATTAAAATTTAGCAATTTTCAATTTTCAATTTTCTAAAAAATGTAATAATTTCTGTTTAAATATATTATCATACTATATTATATATATTGATCATAAATTAGAATATAAATATTTCTTTCTTGAGGAAATCGATATTTTGCATTAAGGATTAAAAAGTTCGTTTTTATTAGTAATTTTAGTAATTTTATAAGTAATCGTTTTACGATTTTTCATCCTTTGCTATATGCATTGGAATATATTTCTTTTCTTTTTTTTTTTATTTTTTTCTTTTTCATTTTTGATTTTTGGGTCTTTCTTTATACCATTAACATTATATAATGACAAATTTACTGAGACACTGTGCCAATCCAATAGAAAAAAAATATTTATAATATTATTGTGCCAATAGTATTCATTTATTCACAGCTTCGCACAAAGAAATACGACAATATTTATTTTTAATCAGAGAATAAATAATAATATTGTCGTACTTCTTTCGTCCGATTTTTTTCTAATGAATAATATCTTAATCATTAAGACCTTAATGATTTTATCATTATAGATAAGCGTAATATTTCGATTCGTCTAACGAGCAACTATATATGTATGTATATATATATATATATATATACACATATATACATATACATATATATATTATAATCAATCATATAATCGCTAAGAGAAGTATGCGTATATTACGATTGTAAAGGAAGTAATTATTTGCGCGACGAATAAATTGTATATTAATTCTCTACATAAAACGGTTAAGAAATATATACTTGAAAATATATACTTGAAAATATTGACTCGTAAACGCTTGCCTTTAGAATGTCTTTTCATAGAAATTCATTTTGAGAACAATCTATATTCTTGCATTTGTTTGTAATTAAATGAATAATGAATAAATAAAATGTAAAAAATATGAAAATAAAAATGAAATGGAGAAGAAATTTCATATTCTACTTACATGATAAAATCTAATCAATTTCAAGAAACAATAGATTGATGTCGTTTGAATTGATTACATGAGATTAATGATCATCATTGTTACAAAATAAATTCTAATCATTTTATATCGTTACATGAATTTTCGATGTTTGTGATGGTCCCTGCGGGATTTCATATACTTGGTGTCATATTTTTTCGTTATACTTTTTATATAAAAGCATAACATGGTACGAAAGCAAAAATAGATACTTATAGATTACGGAATAGTGTAAGTGAATTTGATGACATTGATATTGATCTGATATTGGATGAAAAATTTATTAATCTTTATTTTCATAAATCGATCGAAGCTCTATTATAGTATTCAATATTGCTACGATGATTTTTTGTTGAAATATGATTGGATTTGTTTCGATCTTCCTTAAAATTGACATTTTAGAATAACATGAAATGAATGTGCATGAAGTGATGAGTGCTCAGAAAATGAACATGATATTTTAATAAAAATATGAGTTAATTTATAAAAAAAAATCTATTATTATTTATTTTTATTATCGGACGGAAAATTACTTTTGAAAAATTATAAAAAGAATTCTGTAATTATTGACATATATTAGTTTGTTTTTTCTCAAAAATAATTACATAAAAATAATAGTTATATAAAAAAATAAATAGTATGTCAATATCTTAGAGCAGTCGTAGAAACAAGGCTATGAAAATTTGTAAATATAGAGAAGCGTTCGTCCGACAGACAATGAGGAAAAGCATGCTGATGTAGTCGAAGAAGAATCCTACGAAAAATTCTATAAATTCTATACCACAATACTGATCATTACATGTAACACGTTGGCTGTATTGATTTTGATTAATATATTTTATCTATGCTTGTCTTCTATTTATTTAACAATATAATATTTAATATACGTGATCCATTTCTATATTTTAATAATTCGTCATGCGCATAATGAAAAAAGCATCAACGTTCGTGTATCGATCAAAAGTGGCCAACGTGTAAAAAGATAATAAATTTAAAAAAACATAATTTATAATAACGCGCAATATAATATCGATTAATAATCTATATTGCATCTAATTAAAAATATATTTATAATTTTAATAATATCTGATTATATGATTTATAAACAAAAATAAATGCGAAATAAATTTATTATTATTTTATCGTCGCGTTTGATTTGTTGATATGCTTACGATATATTGCTCCGGCTTGAGAGCCATCGAATAAATAAATAGTATATTGGAATAAATAAATAAATAAATAAATAAATAAAACCAATCGATTGTGATTTATATCTAAGCAGTTACGACTAAGCTTTCGTACAAAAATCTTAATGTTAAGAGAGGAAAGATAGATCTTTGATTGTTGGACGGAGTCGTGCAAAAAAGAGGAGCGATCTGAATTGTTTCATACCATTCGATAAATTCTTTTCTTTTCCTTTTTATAAAAGTAAACAGTTGTAAAATTGGTCGAGAATAGACAGATCAAAAAACATATATGTAGAATATAAAATAATATATATTATTCGTAAATACTCAATATTTAATTGATAAATTAAATTTTATTTTTTTCATGTGTAATAAATATTTGTCTAAGAAAAATGAACTGTTTATTCTCGACTATTCTGATTATAGCTTATTTTATGAAGAAATGAAATCTTTATAATATCTCTACGCTTTGTACAAAAAAAAAGGGATTAATTAAAATCATCGATAATATTATTTAAAAATAATATTATCTATGAGATTAAATAATATTATCTACGAGATTATTTTCTCTTTTGCATGATACCGTACAATCCGTTATGTCGGTATATTATTATACGCTTGATTGCAATAGTACAAGCTTGTACTTGTAGATTTAAAGCGGTAGACTCAAAGTACGGATTCGAAAAACAAAAAAGAACATTCGGTGCTTTTTAATATAATGTATAAAACGATTAAAATTTTATTTTCGAGCTTTTCAAAGCACCGATAATTCATGAGTCTACCGCTAGATCCTAAATCTAAGATGAACGATGCTTTATTATTCTCAAAAATACTGTATACAAGAATACCTAAGTTATGTCGAAGCTCGTTCCACGCGCTCGGACGAGCACAAAAACTGTATTAAGTACGATCGAATTGATACACTTCCTTTTCTTTTTTGTTTATTTAAGATAAGATAAAAGAGGCGGGATGACGTTGAAGCTACGTATTGGAAACTGAATTAATGATTTCAATTCTTCAGTTTCGTTATTTGATAATGTCAAAGTTCACCTCTTTAAAAATCGGAAAAAGCCTCGACCTTTCTCTGGTGGTGGTGCCATTAGCATTGGTACTTGGTTCTTATGTGTTATATGAATCTAAAATAACAAAACATTTTGATTATACTTTAATATTTATAATATATATAAATAAATTTATAATATATATATAATTAAATTATTATTAAATATTTAAAAAATCAACCTACAGTACATGGACCCTGCATCCATGGTTCACCATCGATTTGCATTGGAAAACGTTTGCTAGTAGTAATAGTGACGCTACTACACTGAGCCAATCTTCTACCGGAATGACGAAGTCCAGTTTTCACTTGACCCATGTGCAAACAGTTTTCTAAACCGATCACTTCTATGAGATTGTCTCCAATATCTACAAATAAACGGAATATTTTTTAGTTTTTTTAATTATATATTAATATAATTATATATTAAGTGCATACCTTGTATTGCGGCTGTAAGATCTACGGAATTAAAACTGCTAGTACTGAGTTCTTTGTCTGGTCGTTTTTTCCGTTTGCCAAGACGACGATGTCTTGTATGATGTTCACCCCAGAGATTAGAACCTCCATGAGTAAAAGGAATGTTTAATAATGCGACGCCTTGGAGAGAAGGTCCATGTGCTAAATCTAACGGAGTTCCATCACACTACAAACAAAAAAATGCAATCAATATTATTGGATAAATGGATTTAAGCAAATTTACATACAATGATTTCGAGGTCTTCGTGAAGATTTTTACAGCTGGCAGCAAATTGTTCCGTGGTTGCGTATTCAAAGTACCAAAGTTTATTTTTCATTCTACTATTGAATTTTTCGGGATTTTTTTCCCTTTCCATATGAAATTTCACACAGATCGCTGCGTCCACACCCACCGAGAAATAATTATTAATGATATTATACGGTATACTATCTTGATTTGGTTTTTTCTCATCTTTTTGATCAAGCACTTCTATTTGCCAGCGATCCATCATTACAGGCGTTGCTTTCTCTATTTTCTAAAAATTTTATTGAAAAATAATATTAAATATTTCTAAATTTTTTTATTAAAATATTTTCAATTATTATTTCATTACATACTTTAAGAACTTTATGAATAGCTTCTCCTTCATAACCACCACCCCATCGTAAACATCTTGCAAGATCATTGCCTGTACCCAATGGTATAACACCTACAGCGGGTTGATGTTCGAATTGAACACGATCTGAAATTCAAAGACAAAATACTATTTGTAAATGAATTTTTTAAAGAATTTCTAAATTATTAATCATACCCATTGTTTCTAAGACCCAGCCAACGGTACCATCACCGCCGCAGCAGATCACCTTAAAGTTTTCTACGTCTTTGAACATTTGTAAACCTTGCATAGGTCCACCCATGGCCAAATTATGAACTTGGCGCGGATTCAAAATGTATTGGAACTTCCTTAACATACGTTCGCCTTGCCTTCCTCCAGATTTTGGATTTATAAACACTAAAAGTGGCACGATTCCTGATGGTGGTGTAATTTGGAAAGACATTGCTGGTTGTTGATTAGTAGCTGTTCCAGATGTTAGGAACCCACTTTGCTAATAAAATTATATAAATTATATAAATAATAAAATTAATATTAAATTTATTATATATATAATAAAATTAATATAATGAACTATTTAGTTGATTATATATTTAATTATATATCTTATTACACTTACTGTGCTAACAGTTGATGAATCTTGTCCATGTTTACTTCCTCTTTTACTATCTCTTGATAACGATCTTTGCCTGTCCAGAACAACTGGACAAATCGCTGTAGGGGGGAGGATATGAACTGCATATTCACCAAGTGTACATTCCGCTCTTATTTGCGAGACACATCTGTTATGTAACTGTACGAATTTTGAGATTAATATAGTTTATTCTTTATTATTTCTTTTTTAAATTTGATTCAATGCAAAAATATAATAATTATAAAAAAAAGATTACTTACTGTTATTTGACACCATCTACAGTGTAAACCCGTGATTCCATTATAACTTTTGATAGTTTTTTTACATTTGAAACATTTTCCGTGACAATTTCCTTCGACCCAATGATGCGCCATTGTCTGGGATGTTTTTTTACTTTTAACGTAGGTGGCAATACAAGAAGCTGGCGCCCTTTGAACACATCTTTCATGGACTGTGTATTTACAGACTGTATAAAAGAAAATAATTCATTTGTTTTGTGTTTCAATGCAAATGAAAAGAATTATCGATATTCAAGATGTTGAATTACTTTTATCTTCCTTTTCGATATCATTTCAAATAATAAAAATAATATATATTTTACAAGATTGTTTTTTTTGGATTATTAAAGAGTACAAAAAAGAAAAAAAGGAAAAAAAAGAAAAAATGTATATATAAGAAAATTATTAGATAAAAATTTTTCTTAACAAAATACATGTAAAAAAAAAAAAGAACAATGCGACATCAAAGAATTTCCGATAATACTTACAAACACAGCAAAGACCCTTCTTCCCGAGACCAACTAACATATTTAGACAGAGATTACAATAGGCGGGTTTGCTAAAGTGTTTTAGCCTCCAGAGATGATTACCATCTTCCTTTACATGAGAATCCAAGCCCAAAAGAACCAGTAAAGGTATCGTTGTAAGACCACCTCTTTTCCACTCTTCTAAAGACACTGTACCATCCGCATCATAATCTATTTCTATCATCATGTCTTGCAGTATCTATAAATATTGAGAGAACTTACATTCAGATATCGTTCATTTTTTTGTTTTCTATAAACAAAGAAACTGTGAATTTTATATATATTTATTATAAACATTTTTTTTATTTGACTATAAATGCATATACGATTATAAATATATTTATTCTATGTTCGAATTTTAGCAAATGAGCAAATAGTTTATTATAAAGAATAATATTTATTATAAAGAAAAAGAATTAGTTTTAAATATAATAGAAATAAAATTATCAAGAAGCTAATTATTGGAAAAGAAAGTTATTAATGATTAAATTATTATTTAATTATTAAATTATTATTATATTATTATTATTATTATTATTATTATTATTATTATTATTATTACTATTATTATTATATTATTAATATTATACGTATATTAAATTATTATTTTCAATTTACCGGTTTCAATTCCGTGACATCCCATCCGAGATATTCGGCGACATTCATCATCTGATTGACAATGCAGTCCATTTCCTAAAAACAAATAGTAATATTATGATATTAAAATTTTGGTTACAATAGATAAAGCACTTTCAAATCGATTTATTTCTATTTGTTGATAAGTTTAACAATATAATAATCATATTGATAGATGCACCTATAATTAATTGATCGATTAAATATTCAATATCTTTTTATGATGTAAAATCTATAATTTTTTCTTTTAAGATTGAGAGACAATTATTGAAGAATTTCAAATAAAAAAAAATTAAAAATTAACTAATTATATTCATATACAGAATAATAATAATAAATAATAAATGATACAAAATATAATATTTGAAATAAAATTCATCAAATTTTTGTTTAATGTCAAAATTTTATAATTTCATGTTTGCTTCGAAATTCCAATGAAATTATCAAATGAATATATTAATAATTAAAAATTAAAGTTACGTTGTGTTTCAAAAAAATGAAAAAAATTAAATTTTTCTTGTTTTACTTACATTGGTATCAAGAACTCCATTTCCATCTGTATCATATAGCCGAAACATGACTGGAAAAAAGGGAAAAACGCAAATGAATTAATGCTCATCGAAATTAGTACAACAAGTTGCAGTAAATATGCAAGTTCAAGTGTACTATATGTGAACATAGATAGCGAATCAATTGAAGAAACTGACGCTATACATACATTGAACATCCGAATCTGGATCTTTAAAAAGTTCGGAATACATCAGAATTATCAAGATATTAATGATAAAATTTTCTTTTATCGATTTATGATTCACGATAAAATATAACGCTTTAATGAGAAGGGGTTGTTCATGAACTTAACATGAAAATCATATCAAGGTTTGCCTTCATAGAGTGTAATTAATTTTGATCGATACGAAAGAAACGATTACTCACACTCCAATTTATCTTCTGGTCTGCCAGCCTCCAGAAGAGAAAGATAGCACACGATATCCTTAAGACTGACTTTAATCGAGTGGACGTCTATCGTGCTTTGCTTTCTAACGAGATGTCTCATTTCTAAAAATTGAAAGATAATAAATGAAGTTAAAAATTTTGATCGATTTCAAATTTATTTTTTAATCATCATTTTAAAATCTATCACGAAATCTATAATTTATTTCTTTACAATATTTATTTTATAATAACTCATTTATTACTATCTTTTTCTTTAAATAAATTTTATTTTTTAAATTTGTTTTTACAATACTTCTTTTATAAATTTCTCATTTCGAAACATTTGTATAGTTTGTGATGCTTCAAAAAAAACAAATATGTCTGAGTAATATAATATTGTGATTGTGTTTCTTCTTTTTCTTCTTATAATTTTAATAATTGACAGAATACTTTACCGAAACAAAAGGAAATAGAAAAATTTAATACTGGTGGCGCCATCTCGCGGATGGACGCTGGAAGCTTCGACTTGTTACGCGGGTTACAGAACATGCAAGGAGGTATTCATGACGTCATAAACAAAGGAAAGCAATATTGTGCGAAAAGGACACAAAAGAAGCGCCACTAACTATATGCGCATGCGCAATAAAACTTTCTAATATATCGAAAACATTACATTGAAAATTAATTAATTACTAGCTTTTTACGCAAAATTTCCGTACTTTTAAGATCGCATGTCAAAGCTACAACCTTAAGCAACATTCTTGTATAAATTTTAGTACGATTCTCTTTTTAATTAATTATTTATTAATGATTAGTACGTTACGTACGGATTAACGCAACCGATATTCAATACATTTTTCCCTAATTTCACATTATTATGAGATTTATTTATAAATATAAATATATATATCAGAAATGTGATTTTTTCCGCTACATTTATGTATAATTTTTATTTATAATTTCATTCTCGTTTGAATGGATAAACTGATTGTTTGTTATTTAATCGTAAATTATAAACTTCTTATTTGATTTTGGGCATGCGCAATAAAATTTTTTTAATATATCGGGATGACTACGTTAAAAATTAATTAATTATTACTTTTATATTAAAAATTTCTATATTTTTAAGGTTGTATCTCAAGGTTAAAAGCTCAAGCAAGTTTCTCATATTAATTTTAATAAAAAATTCTTTTCAACTAATTATTTATTGTGCTTATCATAGAGAATATCTCAATCGTAAATTCTTGATCTATAACATAGTAACAAACAATCGATTTATTCGTTCAAACGAGAACAAACTTATGAATAAAAATTATATGTGAATGTAGCGGAAGAAACAATATTTCTGATGTATATATTTATATTTATAAATGAATCTCATAATAATGTGAAATTAGGGAAAAATGTATTGAATATCGGTTGCGTTAATCCGTACGTAACGTACTAATCATTAATAAATAATTAATTAAAAAGAGAATCGTACTAAAATTTATACAAGAATGTTGCTTAAGGTTGTAGCTTTGACATGCGATCTTAAAAGTACGGAAATTTTGCGTAAAAAGCTAGTAATTAATTAATTTTCAATGTAATGTTTTCGATATATTAGAAAGTTTTATTGCGCATGCGCATATAGTTAGTGGCGCTTCTTTTGTGTCCTTTTCGCACAATATTGCTTTCCTTTGTTTATGACGTCATGAATACCTCCTTGCATGTTCTGTAACCCGCGTAACAAGTCGAAGCTTCCAGCGTCCATCCGCGAGATGGCGCCACCAGTATTAATTTTTTCAATTTTCTTTCCTTGTCTAACTCATAGACAAAATGTATTTTATGTTTCTACATGTAATATCAAATTTTGTATATTTTTGTTTTTTTTTTTATTATACATATTTCGTAAATGTATTTATTCTTGTACGTATATACTTTATACATATTTTATACATACATATAAATACATAAATATATTAAACTTTATAATTAAATTTTGTAAAAAAAAAAAAAAAAAAAAAATCAAAACAATGAATGTAGGAATATAAAGAAACTGTATAATTATAAAACATAAATAAAATTTTAGATAATATATGTTTTTATATGATATAATATTTTTAGATTATATTTTCCTTATTGTAAAGTCATGAAATTTAATAAAAAAATTTTTTGTCTATATCACGATAATTTAAGAATTCTAGAACAAATTCGCATGCCACTTCTTTTCCAATTATATTTTTCTGATATAGAATTATAAATTTTAGAAATTTTGATTTTATACTAGAATAATATAATCTGAGAGGAGGTAGAAGAATTTTTCTATTTCCAATAATATTGAAAAATTTTATACGAAACATAATGGATTCAAAATCCATACATGCATTTATAATTAGAAAGTAGATTGCAAATTTGATTGTTTTATAGAAAGTCAATTTTAACTCATAAGAAACGAAATGAATGGCGGCGATCAAAAATCGATTTTATGTAAAAATGATTATGCACTCTATCCAAGGGAGTATTGCTTCATTAGAGATACATTGCGATAAACTTATCGAATTGTATATTACTTTACCTTATTACAAATAAAGGTCTTATGAATTATCATTAGAAATATAATCATTAGAATAAATTATAAGATTTAATACAGGCGAATTATATGTGACATCAGTTGCGATTTCGTATCTGTATGATTTGGCACTTCTGTAAGAATATTTAATGACGTGATCTCATTAGATATATAAATATATAAATATATATCGAATAATATCACATCATTGCTACGAAATCGCAACGTGTCATCACTCGTGCGCGTATAAAAATAAGAAAAAATATTACTTAGAAATTGACGTTATAATCTCGACGTTAACGACTAGACCAGAGTTTGAACCATTATTATACAAATTCTCGTGATTAACTTTCTCTGATTAACTTTTCGAATATAATTGCCGTGTATTGGCGACGTTTAAATCGGCGAAAAGTGATCGAATGAATTATTTTTAGATTAGAACGAAACAGTTTCGTCAGCGATGTTTAAGAGTCTCTACAAGGAGAACCTGTTGCTTCGCACAGAGAGATTTAGGAGCCAAGTATCGATGCGTACACGAGAACTCTAATTATAACGATCGAACGGTTGCACGTGCATGGCCGTAGATAGACGATCTTGTCGCGACGAACATTCTTGGAACGATATTTGTAAGCAGAAATTTCACGTTTCACCGTGTAATTTCAAGCGACACGTAAACAATTTCTCCATCCAAATGATCGGAAACGTAACAAACGTTTGTTTCGATTACGCGTTTCTCGGAAAGATATTGGAAGATATTTGATTGATGCTGTGTTCCGCATCTTCTTGCAATATTCTCTCGATTTATAACAAGATGTACCTTAATTGAGAAATTGCAAAGAGAAGAGATAAGATAGATCCAGTTCGTAGACCTTTGCAAATTGATTATTTCGGAAGATTATGAGATTACGAGAAAGAATATAACAATGTTTTCTGAAGATTTAACAATTAGTTTCTCAATGAATATTCATGATTTGCAAATGGCCTTGATAACGTAGCTTGGAACGATCTTCAAATCTCTGTAATAAATATCTTAATCCTCGATTAACAACAGAGACATTCATGAGATTACATTTAGATTAGATTTATATCTTACTTTTTTCCCACGAAAAAACTCTGATATCGAATACCTTGAATTGTACGATCTATAATTTCGAATTATACTTCTTCGAATTTCAATTAATCAGAACTATGAAGACATCGAAGATGATTCCGCGAAACATCAAAATAAAATGTGATTGTTACGTTCCCGATAAAAATAGTATCGAATCGAAGACGAGACAAAGCTTGGAACACAATATTCCCTCTGTAATTCTCTCCCGTGATTTTACGAATCTTCGCATACATACAGCTGTGCAAAAGAGTAGAGAAGAAAGAAAGAAAGAAAGAAAGAAAGAAAGAAAGAAGGAGAAACGGGTAAAGCGGATGGTCACGAGGGAAATAAAACCGGTCGATCAATCGCGAACGATTTATCTTTAGTACGCGCAACAACGTTGAAACAAATTCACCGACTATTTTATTACTATATTACTCTCCAGCGCTCCATTTTGCCTCGTCCGTGATTTTCCAATGGCTATATGTCGCGGCGATTTCGAATGACGCACGAAAACCGATTCTCTAAGAAACTGTATAGAGAAAAATTCTTCTCTCGTTTTGTCGTCGATCGTGTAGAACGATCGTTGTAACTTTGCTGCATTTTCACTTCCTTTTCCCGATCTTATATACGTATATTTTATCATTTAAGAGTAAAAAGTGACTACTTAACACAGTATTTTTCGCAAGTGGAAACTACTATTAAGAGCGATGTGTCCAATGATAATTTCCAAGACGATGCCTACTTGCGAAAAATATATACATCTTGAATGATAAGTTTCGTAAATGTATTCGTAAATCCTTACGAAGAGATATCATTTTGCGACGATAAATTGGAAATTGCTGTTTCGAATATTTGCACTCAAGATGGCAACAAGATAAACAGAGAAAATTAAACAGTAGCACGAATGGTATCCATCGAATTCCGTCAATAGCAAATAGTTGATTTTGGGCAGAGGACGGAAAAGTACATAGCACTTAATATATCACTTTCCTATTCAAACGACAAATATTGACCCGATATTAAATATTTCGAATATTTTCATCGAGCGAAACGATGCAACGTGAAGTTGGCGCGTTTCAAGTAATGATAAAAAGGGGATGCAAACGGCAGCTTCCCTAATTATTCGTTCGAGCAACGAAACTAGGGATGAAGGAAAATTTCATCGAGGAGCAGGTTCGTTTCGAGAACTTGGTTTCAATTTATTCCATCGAGCAACTGGAGGATCACTGCGAACAATTAATTTAATTGAAACCATCGATGCTCGCAGGATGACACGATTGATTGGTTCGCCGCTACGATCACAGCTGTAATGAATAACCGGATGGGGGCTAACTTATTCGTTATTTCCGATTTCATTTCGCCGTATGAATAGAATCATACAATCAATTCACCACGTGCATTGTTTCCCGCGGCGATTAATCCGACACCACCCTCTACGATCGAAATGGTTTTTCGGTCGAAAGAAAAAAAAAAAAAAAAAAAAAAAAATAGGATGTTCTTCGATGCTAATGTCATTTTCATTTGACAAAAGGCCTTGAATGTTTCGGTTTGTACATTGGCCAGTCGCGACGAATATATTTTATGTCAACGTGGATATTTATGACATTCAATTTTCGTTATATATCGAGAAACATTCTATTTAAATATTCTATTTAAATTTCCTATTCATTAATTTTCGGTGATGATTCGGAGAAGATTGTATAGTATTGTATAAAATTGTTCAGTGTCGTTATAAGAATGATCTTTCGAATTATTTACAAAAGTGGAAAGAAGTTTTGAAAGATATTTACTTGTAAAATTTTCGTTGTTGATTGAAAATAAGAATATGAAATGTTCGAAGAATATTCGTTTGTCTTCCATATGTATTGTATAATTGTATATCATTGACGTTAATAAAGTTTCCAATTCATTGGATATTTAAAAGTTTTCAAAAGAAAGAACCATTATTCGTTTAAATTATTACTAATTCTCTCATTTCCTTTAAAAAGTTTCCTCTTCCTCACTCACCTTCCTTCAGCAACGCACCAGGAATATCCGGTAAACGTATTCGATCGTTCTTCAACATCATTTCCTCAACAATCGATACTTAACGACAAACTTTAATAGTTTCACAGATTAAGAAAAAAAGAAAACGCGAAAATTGTGCAATAATATCAATTACCAGCGATCGCGATTATCGTAGGGCGGGAAATATGAAGATGACACTTGTTGCTTCCCGCGTGACTCGAGAGATACTGAGAAAATATATCGAGAGAGATTGAAGTCGAGACGAGTCTCGATGTACTCCTTATACTTGACGTTATTTATACCGGATGATACCGGTTCGCGTTATTTCGGGGATCGAACGAATACGCAAACTCATTGGCGAGTAGCGGGACAATTAAATGGCGAGAAGGGGGTTCAAATGGAGACCTAGAACGGCAAAATTTCAGATAAAGAAATTAATAAAAGCGTGGCGTAAAATAAAAGAAATAGTTTGAATGTTGTACAAATAATAAAAAAAATTCCAATTTAAAACGCGATAGTTTTTGAATAGAAGAATTACATTTCTCTTGAGGAATAATTTCGATGCTTTGTTGTGCATTGGAATAAAAATTGGAAAATCCAAAATTTGTACCCTTGATAAAAATTTACTTATAATTCTGTGTTCTTGCCAGTTGGAACGAAGTAGATTAGAAAATTATCTAGGAGTTGTAGTAATCAATGGAAGATTAAATAGCAGATATATAAATGGAAAATTCTATTGAAAGTTTGATGAAAGTTTAAAAGCGGATAGGATAGTTTGACTAAAATGAACAGATGTCTTAATTTTGCATTAGAAACAGTTGTTTATTCCGCGCTACGTATTTTCTTCGATCTTTCTGTGAAAGATTCTTTTTTAAACGAGATTGACCTTTCTGATCAAGGAAGGAGGTGACAAACCGTTTAAACCGAGGCAAGAACACATCGTTTGATGTCTCCGTTCCCTCAACTCTTTTCATGTTTCAAAAATATCGCCTTTGAGATTTCGGCGTTTCCCTCTCTCGTCCGAGACAACTCCGCAAACAGTTGATCTAGAATTTTCACGGACCGCTTCGTGACATTTTGCAAAGATCATGCTGTCATTTTAAAATGGATATTTACGCGGTTTATTGAAACTAGGAAGTCGCGAAGATTTAGTCTAACTCGTCGAAATCACGCGTCAAACTCCGCTAAATATTTCCCCACGCATTAAAGGTCATCCCAGCATTACCCGAGTTTTTTAATAGACCCTTTCATCCGCGTAACAGGCGAATTTTACACAATTTCATCTATACAATTTATACGAAACTTTAAGTTTTAATTAATTCTAATTAATTATTCACGATTAATTTCTGATCGATTAAATAATTCATATTATTGGAATACGAATTTCAATTATTAAGAGCGAAAAATCATAGATAGAAGCGAGATTACGTATTAATCAATATGATCCATCGTCATATCAGACTAAAATAAATGAAACTTTACTATAATAATTTAAATCAAAAGTGTTTGAAATATTGTATTATAGAAATAAAAATTTCGAAGAAAGAAATTGCCTTCATCCTCCAAAGTTCATTTTACTGTAACTAATCAACCAATTAATATCGAATACTTTTTCCTTATCCTATTCAATACCTGATCACAATGGCGCAGATATAGATATCCTCACAAACCTTCTTAGAATCGAAAAATCTTTATTTTTTTTTTTTTTTTTCGTTTTTTTCAATATTATTCGCCGAAGATACTATACTTCCGGTCGAGAGTTACAATCCAACCGCATTCAACGATCCCACTATTCCCGTGAATAATGCATCAGCGTAAAAATCGGTGGGTGTACGGAATGAAACCTTTCCTTATCATATCAAGCGTAACCCAGGCTCCCCAGGCAAAGGAGATTCCGCTCCATTCTCGGAACGCACATAAATTTTTCCACCCGGCAAAGGGTATTCTCGTGTCGCTGCTCCGTTTCAACGTTTCCTTACCTTGATCCCCGTAGAATATTGCGCTCCCGATATTTTCGGCCCGATACACAAATTTCTCCAACCCAGACGGACGGTTCCATCAGTATGGAAATCACCTCCACCCATTTAAATTGAAACTTCACCAAAGTCGAGCGACAATAATGCGCCGTTCCGCGGCTTTATCGCGTCCACTGGCCCTGTGTCTTTAAAAAAGGATTCAAATAATCGATATTATTCTCAGGAACAGGAGGAATTCCTTTGTAGGTCGTGGCGAGATTTCCTTTGATCGTACGTCTTCCGCTTTCGAATCTTTGATTTACTTGATTTACCTGGAATCTTATGCCGACTTAGTTACTGTCATCATCGTGTTTAAGTTGGAGAGATTTTTGCTTTTGCCTTCTCTTAAAAACTCTCTTAATATTGGTTAAAATGTTAAGAAAAATCGTTACTTATGACGACGAGGAAGGAAGAAGAGCGAGGTGTGCGGGGAAAAATAATTTTTTATCAAGTAACGTTTTTATCGGACGTGCGTCAAGAGTTTTTGCACGCATCTCGCGCGTGAGTGAATAACGCGGAGAGAAATCGATTACAGCATCATCGAGCTACCATGGGCACGACCATATTAAGTCGTACACGTCCTTACGAGTTTTACGATTTCGGGCAGCTTTTATGGCATCGATTTGTTTGCCAACCTATATGTCACGGCTCATCGTAAAGAATCTTACGATCATGGAGAGAAAGAAAGAATGAGGCAAGATCATCTCGCGATATTGTGTCGTTTAACTCGAGATTGCCCATAGGCGTGGAATTATTCTTCTTTGGAATCGGATATTTATCCACTCCGCTCCATTATGCTCCTTCAGACGGAACCTTGTGAATTCCATTCGAAATGCGAAACACAAGTTATAACATCGCGCTTGAGTTAAACGGAATCATCTTATTTGCCTTCCACGTAAATTTCTGCCTTGTGCTCAAATGCGAGTTTCATGTTCATCGTCGTTCATGAACTTTAATACCGTTTTTCGATTTTAGATCGATGAAGTAGTAGAGCAAAAGCGTTCCTTAAAATAACCAAAATTTAAAAATTATCTAAAACGAGACGTAAAAAATATTTTAAAATTACTTTTGAAAACATTGGCAGATAATTCTTACAGAATTTTTATTGACTAAATTAATATCGATTAAACAATTATTCACATCGTGCTATTTTCCATTCATTTTCTATTTTCCCGCTTTTTCCACGTCTTACTACCACGTCTACTACGCAAATTTTACAAGCAAAATATTTTTTCTAATTTATCGCGACAGCAAAGACATCGTCAAAGGTGGAAAGAAGAAAAAAAAAAAGTAAGTGAAAATGGAGCAAACGGTCTATCAGAGGGATGTAATCCCGTTGCATTTCAACGGGATGACGTCCAGGAGCAAATTGGTTGACGGCATCGTTAATATCGAGCTCGACCTACCTTCTAATTTCCCGTTGTTGATGAGGAGCGAATTGTTCGACTTCCTGGACGAATTCCGCGACATTTGGCTATGGCTCGGGCTGCTGTCCGTGCTTTTTTTCTCTATCACGTCATGGCAACTGTACGACGTGTGCTGTTGTATCGTCAATATGGGATGAACGCTTCCTTGAAGCCCGTCCATGGAACGCAAGGAAGAATATTAGTATTATTGACGCGATCGGATGACTCGAGAGTAGGATTACGGGGGCTTCTGATATATCGCGAGCAGATTCTCCATTTAATGGCAAGGAAAAGACCGTCTAATGGACGATCGTGGCGAAGTTTATCGCTTTCTGTTCCTCTGACCCGATCAATCGGATAAAACAAGCAGACAGACCGACATTCGATATGCGTGTGAACGTTGATTTCCCCCCAATGCTCAATGGTAGACAGACAGAATTATAATGGATATATCGTCCGTAATGTTAATCCTATATTATTGTTCCATTGTGATTGGAGTTTCGATTTTAAATCTGTATTGTTTTCGATTTGACGGGAAGAATATTTAGAGGATACGATTGTTATGAAAGTGTATTCGTTTGTATAATTAATATAGAAGTTTATAATTTAGAAGTTTTATGAAAGAAAAATAAAAAAATTTACTTTGTTTACTTTAATATTAAATTTCTCTTTTTATTCTTAATTTTTATCATGATGCGTTCTATTGTTTTGATCTCAATTTTTAAAAAAATAGGCGTCACTCCTCGTGTTGAATTGTTAAAATTTTTAATAAATACGTTTATTACGCTACGCACGGATTAACAGCGATACATAATACATTTTTTTTTTTTTTTTATTTGTAATATTCATACAAAGCAATTCGGTAATCAAAGAGAAAAAATGTGGTCAAAGTGAGATTTTTCAAGATCCATCGTTGTACATCGCGCACAAAGAAAAATGTATCATTGATTTAATTTTTCTCGCGTTCTCCACTTCATCCTTTTTTTGTTTACGCTCGAATTTTATAAAGAAACGTTCCGGTGAACAACTGGAAAAACTTAACAAAAGGCCGCACAATGAAATCGCACGTTTTGTGCAACTCTTTATTTTTTTCTTCAGATTATCGTTTATCGTAGTATCGCCATTGGACAACCAAATCTTTTTCTCGAGCTTGGCAAAATAGAAAATTAAAAATGGAAAATCAGTGGTGAGATTAAATCAGCGAATGAAATCAGTAATCATTCACGGTAATTCACTTTCTACGATGGACCGATTTTTTTCGCTTTCGCTTCGAAATTCTATATTATTTCGTGACAATATCAGAAACATTCGATCGTGTAATTTATCGCTTCTTATTAGAATGAGAGATAATTGAATATAGAGATAACGAATATTGTATGTTGGAACATTATTTTTTTGAGACAATGTATGGTTTTTTAAATTATACAATGGTAAAATTTATTTATTTTATATCATCGAAGATTGTAAATTATTTGATCTGCTAAACTATTCAATCTTCCAATTATGAATATGCGTATCATTGAAATTTAAATCAATTTTTTCAATGATTTATATTTTACATTTTTCAATTCGTCGTTCGTAGTCGTTCGTCGAGCATTTGTAAGGATAAAATAACGTTCAGAGGATATATACGTATAGTGTGCATTACATAGTTCTCTTAGAATTGTCTATCGACGGTGAAATGTATTGCAAATATCTATTGTCTGATCCTTTCGTATCCCGTGAGAAACAACCAGTTAGTGCAAACGTTTCATTGTTTTCTCTTCAAAGTATGTTAATATTGCAAAATATAGCTGTAAACTCGCGCCGATTAAAGATGATTCAACGCGTTTACGTGTAAGTATATTGCGTTTACACTGTAAATATCTTTATCAAAGATCTAAATTTATGATCGAAGGACATTCTAAATAGACTTTTCCTTCGTTAACGTTTCAAGGATTAAACGAGCAAGTAATTAAAATAATAACAATAATTTCCTCTCTGTCAAAAAGTTTTCAAAAATTGATTTTAAATGTAATTTCAAAAATAAAATTTTAATTACCTGTGCGTGCTCTGGTGGAGATTTCACTGTCCGTTCTATGATGCCCCAACGCCTGCAATTTCTCTGTGAGACCGTGAATTTTGTCAGCCAAAGAGGAACCGTGTCCACCCTCCGACGATGTCCCACCAGGTAGACCTGTGCTGTTCACATTGCTGCTGGACGTTGTGTGAGACGTAATGGCGGCACAAGCGGTCGTCGACGAAAGCACGGCCATTTCCTGATGCAAAGATTCCTATCTCTGATAAATCTTCGAATATTTAATTTAAAAATCAGCGTGAAAAATTTGATCGAACATCGAACATTGTATTAAATATTAATACAATAAGAATACTTGAAAATTATTATTAATTTTTTTTTAAATAGAAAAATCTTTAGAAAAATTATAAGAAAGAATATCCTACCTTAAAAGCTTTCCCATCGACTCCTCGTGGCACTTTTTTAACGAACGACAAAAAAAGATGTCGTGAAAGTTCGTCAGGGGTTGTCACTTCGAGATAGGTGTCCAGAAATTTACGAAATCCTTCATAATCAATGTCCTGAAACAAAGATTCACTATCTTAGCGATAATAATATTTTAAATCTATTCCAAATGTTAAACGAACATACAATTATAATCAAATTGGCAATATCCAATGAATGAGTTGTTTTAATTTTAATTTAGGATGTAGCTCAATCAAAAAATAAGCATCAACTTATAAGACATAAATACGGTAAATCCATTATTTAAGGGAATCTATATCGAAATTACGAAGTGTTTATTACGCAACCGGATCGATGTCACTTAATTTAATTAGTTATTAACCCTGAAACCTATCGTAGAAGCATATAAGCATTGTATAATTTAAATATAACATTAAATTATCAAATCCCTGATCCGACAAATTAACTATAAAACAAATTTTCATTGGACAAAAATATATAGCATTTCGAGCTTGTGGAAAAACTATCTTTGATACTATTTCTAAAATTTGAAAAATTATCAAAAATCAAGATCGTACACCATTGAGATTCAAAGATCAAAGATGGCCATAAAAATATTCAAATAATACGTATAATTCTTATTAAAATCTAAATTATTCAAAAGGCTTGACAATTTTTAAAATCCTTTTTTAATTATTTATTATATCATAGTGTGTTAAAAATGCTTTCCAATTTTCCCAACCAGCCAATTTATCGGATCTTCACGATTCCCATAGTGAATATATTAGCTCGATAATAGCAATAGACATCTTGTAATCAGCAATGCTGAATAGTTTGCTCGGGACTGGTCGATCCAGATCAACGGCTATTATACATGGATTATGCGGTGATCTAAATCTTGTTAACGCATAAGCTTTCCGCACACAAAGGCGGCACATCGTGTTCGCGGTACGAAATGAGATTCTATCACGCGCTTCAAATCACCATATGGGAAACTTCCTGTTCAGAAAATGACCTTCCATCCGATCGTAAATTGAGACAGGAGAGATATTAAAATCGTTTTCCGTACAGATTAAAATAACGGTGCCGATTGTGACACGGTAACGTAATCGTTTCCGGCGGAAAAGGGTTTGCAACGGAAATCTTTGGACATTTGTCTCGGTATAATCGCACAGCAGAATCGAAATTAAATTTCATCGAGGCTCAGGTGAAAGTTGCTCGAGCACCTGTGTAATGAAGCAATTGTTTTAATTGATTGGATATTTAACTGGGCTGACGGCCCTTATACCTGTTGATCAAGAGCAAGAAATATCGTAATGTTACTTGACGCAAAATGATCGAATGGGGAAAATTGGTTGCATGCCTTTTCCCATTTATTACACTTAAATTAAGTTATATATTTAAATTGAAGAGTAATCGAGCAATCGAAATTAATCGTCGTATGTGTAATATTACGGAGATTGTGAAGTTGTACAAGTATTATTCGCCCCGATAAATAACTTCAACTTTGAATATTTTCTACATTCGAGCAATATAAACATGATTATCACTTAATACTTGCTGGCGTCGTTAATTAATTCGTTTTTCGCTTAACAGAATTTTGTTCAACACTTGTACAGATATTTAACATAATCGATAATTACGACACCTTGCAACATGCTCGCGTGAAATTAATTAACATTCATTAGTCGCCGCTTATGAATGCCAATTATAATCATTCAGCTGTTTATTTCAGTGAAGGTGTCTCGAATAATGTGTCGGCGATATCACAAATGATTAATTATCTTGGCATTTTAATATGTGTTCCCTTCGTTATCAGAACGCTCATTACAAACACTCTTACTTTAATAACGTATTATATTTTTCCATTTTTTTGTAAATCTCCACTTATTACAAATTATATAATACTAATTATAATTAATAATTTGCGGATCTCATTAGAATTGGACAATCGATCATTTTATTTATGGAAGCTTTCCGAGTTTGCATCAGGATTCAGGGCCTAAGTTCGTCAGGATCTTTTGATTGCAAGTCAAGTTAATGAGGAAACAAGCCACGAGTCGCTAACGACCAACCCAGTTTCGCGTTTTATTTGAACAGATCCGTTCGAGAGCGACATTTATCGATGTTCCGGCGCCAAGGGCGTTGCCTTTATCATTTTCTTCTCCCATCTTTCTTCCTTTCCATCTCTCTTTCTTACCTTCACCTTCTGTTGAACACCATGAACGATAAAGCTCTAGAACGAACCACAGTTAAAGTAGTTACTCACGAGCTATAACGGAACAATGTCCCGAAATAAGGGATTATTCCAAGAAAAAAACAGCAATTTATCGATATATAATCGAAGCGTATTATTATTTCACGTTGTAATAAAAGTACATACTCAATTTTGTAATAAAATATCGCGTTGCTCACAGCTTGAGATTCAAGAAATTTCGCGTTTCGTATCGTTTTATACATCTTATCGAGGAGATCGGTATTATTTATCGGATAAATATATTTGAAAAGATTAACAGATATTTTCGTAAACATTCGAAGATATCGATTTCTCATACCTTTTTTTTAAGAATATAATTTTTTAAGAAATATATGCACAGAACTGTATATGCAAAAATTATATGCATTATCATTTTGATTTTGATTATTTGTATTTATACTCTTTCAAGAAATATGTAAATGTTATTAAAACGTTGATAAATATATACTCAAGATTCTAAGAAAAGAAAGTTATATCATTTAATATACAGACGAACTGCATATATTTTATTACGTGATAAACACTATCGGTTACAGCTGAATATAAATCTTTATCGAGTTTTTCAAATATTCGATAAAAAAAAAAAAAGAAATTACCATAGTACGAGAAAATTATGAAACTGTTTGTTCGAACACTCTGAATCCCCTTTCATTATCTTCCTCTCTAAAGTAGTTTCTCCGTACGGAAAACATAGACTTGGAAATGGAATTCGCAAATGCACTTGTTATCGATCGATTAACCGCGGATGCAATTGGTCCGGCGAATGCTCGAATTTACTACTTAATAGGCAACGCGGCATATACGCCGCAATCGTATTTAACAGGGTGTTTTCGCGAGCAAGGAACAAGCAAGCAACAAGGGACCGTGAACATTGCCGATTTTACATTCTATTCTAAAGTGAAACAACCGATTCAACCTGATCGTAACTATAACTAACGATTGTACTCGGGTCACGGTTTACGACTTACTCGTTGGCCGGTTAGTTAAGCCAAGTGGTGCACTTTCAGCATTTTCCTTAAAAGGCTCCTACAATTTTAACGAGTCAATATAATTTTCATGATGAGAGAGAGAGAGAGAGAGAGAGAGAGAGAGAGAGAGAGAGAGAGAGAGAGAGAGAGAGAGAGAGAGAGAGGAGGGAAAGAAAGGAAAATTTTAATAAATCGTTTTTCTACGATAACTTTGAATCTGGCTATACACTTGTAAATCATTTAAATCTCTAGATTGGTAAGTGAAACGCTTGTTACGGTGTCGCTATGGTGTAAAAAGAACCGTTACAGTATATAAGGTCTTGTGAAAAGCTGCTTTTTACGACGCCGCTTCGTGTTCGAAGTTGTGCAACGAAATCGAAAGAGGGGAAAATGTTTCGAAGAAACATGATTCGTAATATTTTAACAAATTTTTCATTCGATTATTACGACTATCAACTTGTTAATAATTAAACTATATTAAAAAAATATTATTCCAAATCGTTTTTGAAGTTCAATCTATCGTATTGATAATAAAATTGTAAAAATTGCTGTCTCACTGAACTTGGCGGAAGTTCAATAATAATCTGAGAAGAAGTCACGTGGAGATTCATCAAGGCGATTGCTTTAATAAATCAAAATATTATTCCAAAGGATTAACACGGATCGTCTTGAAATTGTATTTCACGTCGAACGATTACCCAACCCAACCTATTTCCTATCTCGTCCAATACCTAATAATCCAATAAACAAAAACAGAGGAAAAAAAAAAAAAGAAAGAAAGAAATAATATTTGAAAAAGAAAGAGAAGAAAAATCAATATCGGAAAATAGCCGAGAAATTTCATCGAGGATAGAAAGAGATGATCGAGTCGAACGGTAGCAAGAAGGAATTCCTTTCAAGAATTGCGAATCGACCGTATCGCGGCTTATCCTCGATATACGAATATCCCGGAAACTGGGTCACGCTCGTTGTCTGAAGGAATATCCGCATGAATGAGACAGGACACGGCCATTAAGCTTTGGGAAGAGATACAGAGCGCGGAGAAGTTGTGAAGGGCGAGACGATGAACGAGAAGAGGAGAGGGAGGGTGCGAGGGAATATAGAAACGAGGTTGTTCTCAATGGTCACGTAAGGGAGTGGTGGTGACGTCAGTGGGACGATGACATCATCGTGAGGTCGTCATAACCCCGATAAGGCTGCTGGGTATATAGGTCAAAGTGGTGAAGGATCATAGCTGTTGGATCATGGAGAGAGAGAGAGAGAGAGAGAGAGGGTGAGGTATTTTCAAATGTCACGTAGGCTGCTGTAAAATTGACTCATTGCCCCGTTAATACGCAGCTCAGAAATGAAGAAAAATGGGAAACGATGGATTCTGGTATTACGTCCACTATGGGAGCCGCTTGTGTTTTCCAATGGGGCACACGGCTGGTAAACGATGAAAGATGGCCGAAGCTATTCTTATAGAGATTTATAAATTTTGATATATCTTGGATAATTGGGGAAACACTCGTAATGTCATAATTTTGAATAAATGTTGTCGAGAAATCGAATCGAATAAGGGAAAGAAATCGTTTCGGAAAAATTTATCGATTGGCCGTGTTTCGGCTTTGACGGTGAAAGAGGAAAGGAGAATTTTTTCGTGCATGTAAAAAAGATGTGTTGCAAATTATAGGGGTCTGTGTGAGAGACTTTGTCGGCACTTTGTAATGAAAGGATAAAAAGAAGCGTTCGTTCCTAGTGGGTTTCGTCAGTGGCGAAGAATTTGCCGGAAAGGCTACTTAGTGGGCCTTAGATTCCGTAATATCAGAGGTCAGGTTAAAAGGTGGATTTGCATCTCTTTAATGGAATAGAAAATCACCACCAGGACGTTAGAATCCCTTAAGTTTTAAAT